TAATAATTAATAAAGAGTGGATGAATGGGAGGATTTTCTTCTTCTCCCTTCAGATTTTTCTTCTCCCTGTTGTGCCGTTTCCTTCTGCGTACAATTTATCTTTCATCTCCTCATTCAGATATCTACATGCTCAGTTCAGACATTCATCTTTCAAAATCTCCAACTTCTAGAAAAATCCCTGTTTCGTCGGCTGATTGTATCGCAGTGGAACATGTGAAGTAGCCGCTGCAAGATAAAAGCTCCTTCACTTTTCACATAAAAGGACTCTGGTTTCCTTTAATACGTACATGCTCCATTGACATATTTCGTTCAGTCATTCCCTCAAACAGTCAGCAAAGTTTGATCTAATCGTTAAATCCCAGCTCTGCCAGAGTTAAAGTAAGCAACATAAAACCACCTGTTTTAGGTTTGGTAAAGTATTTTACTGCTTACCAGCAAGATTAATAGACAAAAGGGGCAACATTGCAAAGAAAATGCCTGCAGACGTCTGTTTTATAAAGCAAGTTTGTCAGATAATCCAGACCTACTTCAATTAGTCTGACTTACTTTAGGTTATTTCGGTTCCATAAAGAAGTTAACTAGAAATCTAGGCTTATTTTAGTTCCATAAAGCAAATTTAGATAATCCAGGCTTATTTTAATCAATCTGACTTGTTTTCAGGTTATTTAAATTACATTAAGCAAGTTTATTAGAAAATCCAGGCTTATTTACTTAAGTGTGACTAACTTTCAGCTTGTTTTGGTTCCGACAAGCAAGTTTACTAAATAATCCAGGCTTATTACACTTAGTCTGACTTACTTTCAGGTTATTTTGGTTTCATCAAGCAAGTTTACATGATAATCCAGGCTTTTTTCAGTTGGTCAGACTTACTTTCAGGATACTTTGGTTCCAGGAACCAAGTTTAACAGAAAAATTCAGGTTATTTTATGATCAGTTGTCATTGTGGCAATAAAAAGAACAATTTCCATATAAATTTCCTCACATTTTTTTACACATAGTGCTTCTCTGAAATTTGCTTGTTAATAACAACAATAATAATATAAATACTTTCTTCCGGAATTTTTTTATTGTTGTTGTTTCTAAACAGTTTTTTTTTTTGTTTTTTTTGTTTTTTTTAAGCTGTTTCTATATGTTTCACAGGCAATAAAAAGCCATGAACACATATTTGTTTCTTCACATTTTTACACCTATTGATTCAAAAATAATTACTGTTTTATTTTTTGTTTTTTTCATTCAGTTGAAGCCATAAACCATGATTCTGTGACATTTGCATGATCATCTCTTGTACTGCTGGAATGTAAATTTGGCAGAGCAGCAGTCAGACAGTGAAACAGGCTTTTCAGTGTGACGTTAAGTCTCTCTTTAAGATCAGTTGATTTTAAAAACAGTCGCTGAGTGAATTTAAATTCTATATATGTGCTAGACTCTTCTTAGCACTCGTATCACACAGACATGACTTAAATGATGCATGTCCGGCGCTGCTAACCGGAGGGATGGGAGATCTCCTGTAGCGAAGGTGCACAATATTTGCTGTGGTGTTCTACTTCTCAGTTGAGGCACGGACTTGTGGAAGCTTTAAAGTGAATCTACGCTGCCTCCAATCTCCTCTCTGCACAATGTATGTACTCTGGTGAATTCTGAGGGTATAGATATCACAGAAAAAGCAGCTTTTCATGCAGTCTGAAGGAGATCTGTGAATGCAGCCTCATTATAGCTGCAGGCTCGTGGTGCCCCTGAATGTAGTGATTGTATGGTCTCATATGGGAAACTTCTGGGAACATAATGTCCTCTAAAATGGCTGAGGCAAATTATTTCTGCATGAATATTTGCAATGTTATCGCTGACGCGCACAGTATTAGGATATTATTCAAACCATAATAACGAAAAGGGATCATGAGTGATGTCGTGAATCATCCATTCGTACGTTTCTATCCTCCATTCACTTTCACTGCGCTCTCCTCTCTGAGCTCCTAATTTAAAGTCCAAGTGTGTGTTGAGCTTCAACCTCAGACAATTTGGATCTCACACGACATTCAGCAAATCACAGGGATTTAAAAATGAGCGCTCGGCCTGGTTTACATATACAGTCAGTCAAATCCATAAGCATTTGGGCAGATTTTACACTGGCACACTGGATTTGAAATGAAGCAATCAAGATGTGATTGAAGTGTCGACTTTCAGCTTTAGTTTAAGAGTTTCAACCAGGGAAGCCTCCAGAGCTTTTTTACCAGAGTGGCCAAGATGGAGGCACAGACAGTCTGGGGAGACAATTCTGTTGTCCTGTGTAGTACAGAGGTGACACTTGAAGAATCTCGTATTTTGGTTTCTGATTTTATAGTTATTATTACTACTTTCCTGATGTACATTTATAGTTATTCGGGTAACCATCTTTCAAATTATTTCAGGAGAAGAGATGCTGCAGTGTATTTCAGGTGGTCCAATTCTGTCCATGTTTGATGATACTTTATCAAACTACATCAACTTATGGCTTAATAAAATCTATTTTTATTGTTACCTGTTGAAAGATTTTGGTAGTTTGGTCTCTAAAAGCACTAGTTTTATTAGTTTTATTCCCTTTAGTTTTATTACATCCGCCAAGTAGGTTCTGTTTTAGCTGCCGTTTATCTGTTAGTTGGTTTGTTTGTTAGCAAGATAACTCAAAAATTTATGAAAGGAGTTTCATGAAATTTTCAGGGATGTTGATAATGGCACAATGAACAGATGATTACATTTTGGTGATGTTCTGGCTTAATGTCTGGTTATTTTCTCATAAAACGGTAAATGCTGTTAAGTGGGAACAGTCGGCAGAATGCTGTCGTTGCGCCGTTTGTCCACTAGATGGAACTCTGACTCCATTCAGTCCTTCAGTCCTCACCGCTGTCTTCTCAGTAGAGCAGGAGGAAGCTACAGCCAGGTTACATTACAGGAGTGGGCTGAGCGGAGCTACTGACAGATAAGTTCATAACCACATTGTGACATCAACAATGACTCAACATGTGTCCTGTTTCACTTTAACTCTCTTTGCCATGCATCATGATGAGGGACGCATGCTGCGTTGCATAGCGTAGCGTTGGCTAACAGCTTAAAGCCAGTAAGTAGCTGTAGAAATAATGTAAGTGTTCAAAATATGTGAGAGAACAGAACGACTGTTCATCACTCTGTGAGCTTATTATTACTGATATCAATGTTAATTGAAATGCTAAAGGTATGTTTTGATTCTCCATGAATCTAATAGTGTAGATAAAATGACTGCAGGACTTTAACATTGGCTGGAAATCACAATATGGTGGAAATGAGCTGCTTGGCAGAGGCCTGACCTATCTGAGTGCTTTTCTAGTTAAGTGTGCAATGAAAATGAAGTTAATGATTTATGTTTGTTGTTTTAACCTATATCAAAAGAGAAAAGGTTATGCACATCCATAAATGTCTTCATTGTATTAATTCTCATGAGGTGTTAATAGGATCCAAGGATCAATAGGTTCCATCTATTTGCTGCAAATTGCTCATAACTAATTTCAGCGCTGTGTGAACTACATTTTAGACATTTTAATTTATTTTTACTGTACCAGCCAGACCTTGACTTCAATAATTCATCCATCCATTATCTATACACCGCTTAATCCTCACT